TTGGATATGATGTGCGTCACAGAAACCTGGCATCAATCAGAAGTTTATTCTTCTTTAAATGAGACCTGTCCTCCTGGCTACTGCTATTTACAGAAAGCCCGCAGCACAGGGCGTGGTGGGGGTCTGGCTGTCATCCACTGAAGTGATCTGATCTTGTCCAGTATAACCCTGCCTGGGCTGTCTTCGTTTGAATGCCTTGCATTTAAATGTCAGCACCCTCTCTCCACGACGATACTTCTTATCGGCCACCCAAACCAAACCCATATTTCATCCCAGAGATATCCAATCTTCTTTCAACCTTCTGTACAATGTCTGCCAATATCATTGTACTAGGAGATGTTAACTCCTCCACCTGCCGTTTCGCTGCAGAATTCCTCCAATTACTTCACTGTTTTAATCTGACACAACTTGTCGATGCCCCCTCTTGACCTAGTCAAACTCTGTTTATCTCAGCAATCTTTTGGTGTATGATCTGGGAGTTTCCGACTATAAGGTCATCTCCGTGGAAATGTCTTCACCGTCCCCCCTCACCAAGCCCAAACGCCAAATTTGTTTCAGAAACTTGAAAAACATCAACCATGAGACTATGACATCTGACCTTCAGCATCTCCTCTCTGTAAACTGTTCACAACCCACAGACTTAGTGGACTATTACAATAACACCCTCAGAAGCATTATGGATCTCCATGCCCCGGTCAAAACCAGAATGGTCACTTTTGCCCGTTCAGCCCCCTGGTACACTGATGAGTTACGGAAAATGGAGGCAGCTGGCCGTGTCATTGAGAGGAGATACAAAGCCACAGGTCTCTCTGTGCACAAGCTCGCTTTTCGAGAACACCACAAGGTCTACTCAAAGTCACTTACAAAGGCACGGTCTCATTGCTACTCAAACGTCATCAAGAAAAGTCCAAACAGCTTTTCACTACCATAAATCAACTGCTCAAACCACAAACCCCCTCACTTATAGAAACTACAGAAGAGCACTGTAATAATTTTCTGGACTTTTTCAAAACAAAAATACACTCAATTCATTCTACCTTTCCTGGATCCTCAACACTATCCACCCTGAATTTTCCCTCACAGCTTTCAATCTCCGAGCCCCTGCACTGTTTCCCATAAATCACACAGCAAGAGGTTGAGAAGATAATCAAAAGGATGAAATATACCACCTGTGCCCTCGATCCTTTTCCTACATCTCTAGTGAAAATAAACAAATCTGTCCTAAGCCCTCTGATCACCACTGTGATAAATGACTCCCTCCGGTCCGGCAAAGTTCCACCTGCCCTAAAAACTGAACCCTTGATCCAGATGTATTTGCAAATTACAGGCCCATTTCCAATCTCCCATTCCTCTTCAAAGTACTGGAAAAGGCTGTTGCCGCCCATCTACAGGAACATCTCAAACACAACAATCTTTTCGAAAAATTCCAGTCTGGTTTCCGCCATGCCCACAGCATGGAAACAGCCCTGGTTAGAGTCACAAACGACCTACGAATGGACAGCTGATGCGGGTTCACCATCACTCCTCATACTGCTCGATCTGTCGGCAGCTTTCGATACACATTGGACCATAGCATACTCCTAAATCGTCTACACCAAACCACTGGAATCACTGACACTGCTCTTAACTGGTTTAAATCATACCTCACTAACATAACAGACTACATTTCACTTGGAAGTGCTAGGTCCCGGCAACACACAGTCACCTGCGGGGTCCCCCAGGGGTCAGTTCTTGGCCCTATCCCCTTCATCACTTACATCATTCCTCTTGGCCATGTCATTAGCCGATATGGAGTCTCATTTCACTGCTATGCGGATGATACACAACTGTACTTGAAAACGGAAACAAACACCACTGCAATTTCACCGACATCACTTCTATCTGCAACACTTACTGCCTGTTTGGAGGAGATAAAGGTGTGGATGAAACACAACTTCCTCCAGTTAAACAGCTCCAAAACAGAGGCAATTCTTGTTCACCCCACATCAAATCCAGTCTTCCTCCATAACTGGCATTACTATCTCTGGTCATGACATTCCCCTCTCCACAACTGTCACCAATCTTGGTGTAAAATTGGACCCACAACTCACATTCGAATCCCATATCAAAAACGTCAGCAAGATTTCTTTCTACCATCTCAGAAATATAGCAAAACTACGTTCCACACTCACCCTAGCTGATGCCGAAAAACTGGTGCACGCATTTGTCTCCTCCAGACTGGATTACTGTAATGCACTTTTCATCGGGATCCCTAACAAAAGCCTGCAGAGACTACAGTATGCTCAACATAGTGCTGCAAGGATCCTGTTGAGAGTGCGAAAATACGATCACATCACACCCATTCTCCATTCAGTTCACTGGCTTCCTGTTTCTGCTAGGATTGAATATAAAGTCTCCCTTCTTACCCACCAGTGCATCTATGGAAACGCCCCCCCATATCTGAAAGAACTACTCACACCTCTAACAACAACACGATCCCTCCGTTCAAAAACAACAAACCGTCTACTTCTCCCCAAGAGCTTTCTGCTCTGCCGCTCCTCGGATCTGGAATGCCCTCCCTGACCATCTGAGGGCACCTCAAACTATTGAGACTTTTAAAAAAGGACTAAAAACTTTTCTTTTCAGCAGAACTTTTAAGTAATATCTATTTCTATTTTTACAATGCTTTTATGATCTTAAACTGTAGAACTGATTTGCTCTAAATGTAAGGTGCATTACAAATAAAATTTATTATTATTATTATTATTATTATTAGATCGCCTCTTATTTAAAGGGGTCATGAACTGGCTTTTTAAATTTTATTATATTGTTTTCTGAGGTGAACTTATGAGGTTCGCTTGGTTTTGCATTCAAAAACATCAAAATGAATTACTAATAGGCTATTTTCTACCCTAGCTTTGAGACCAGCTCAGAAACGCACGGTTTTTATGGGCGTTTCGCACGGAAGACTTGGAAGTAAACGCCTATTGCTGTGAGTGGATAACAGTTTTGCATATTATAATGAGTTTTTCAACTCACCTCGTCGGTGTACGTGGGGAAAATTGTTTTGAAAACGTCCACTGTTGTAAAATGGCAACCAGAATGATTCACCCATACATGTTCGAGTCCGTGTGTTGCAGCATTCCTGTCAGATCCAATATAGACGGCACAGCACCGTTCTTTATTCCTAATCGGTCTGCAAATCCAGTCTTGTTTACGAAACAATCCTCAGTGAAATGAAGCGAATAGACGGTTTTACCCTCATCAGCTGGATTGGAACGTCATTAAAAATTAAGTTTTTCCATGCAGTCCTATTCAGAGGAAGCATATGCAGCGTCTTCTTCCACAACCAGGCACTGCACAATATTCTGCATTGCTCGGTAGCTCGATCCGGTTTGTCATCACGAGGTAGGCCTGTTATTTAGCTATGCGTGTAATGCGCGAATCGGTGGGTGGGCCTAAAGCGGCCATGTTGAAGTAGGAGTTGGTCTTCTTCTGCGGGGGTGGTGTTTTATCCTCTTTGACGTCATAGTTCCCCACTTTTAAAAACGAGTCGTTTGCTCGGGCTGGTGTCAATAAAAGCTTATATTGGACTAACAAGGACGTTTTCAGTTCTGAAACTTACAGGATATTCGTATAATATGGTAACCTCTTAGATGTCAAAAGCTCAAGGAAAATTTGATTTCTCAGTTCATCACCCCTTTAACAAACGAACTAAATGAAAGCTCTGCTAGTTAACTACAGATGTTTTATTTATTTGTATTAGTTACATCCAAGTTTCAAAAGTGGTTGGGACAATATCAACACTGGCAAAAAGTGGTGGGGACGTGTCCCACCCATAAATTATGCTTATGATTATGTGAAGGGCCTGTTCGTCCCTGTTGGTTGCGGGCCAACACTCCGCTCCATATACAGTAGGGCGAATGGACGGACGACTGTTTTATGTATCTTTGCCTTGGTGTGTTTGGGCTTGCATTTATCGCAGAGGATGCTGGTGATTCGGCGCAATTTCAACCAGGCAGTGTTGACTCGGGACCTGACATCTGGGAGGCTGTCGTAAGGTCTGCATGACAAATCCTTAATAATTGTTATTGGCACCTGAATTGGGGTCTGGATCATTTTGTTTGGATTAAGATTTTCCATCTATCAGGCCTACATGATATTCTTTGGGGGGTTTTTTTGTCTCTTGTCTTTTTCCAATTCCTCACCATCTGCGCCTTAGATAAGCTGTTAAATCATTCTCCTTGTGCTCAGCATGACCTCAGCTAGTGTCTATATTTCCATTTTAAAGTCAACATGAAATCAAACTTGACTTTCCTAATATGTTACTTTACTTTCTTAATGTTAATGTTCATCTTTTTGTGCATGTTGTAAAGTTTTGTCTTTGTAATCTTTCACCAAAATGTAATAACTTTCATTTAACTGTCTCTTAAATTCCTTTACTTTTTTTGGCTTATGTCATTCCTTCCTTTCCAGACCTTTCAGTCACTTATGTGCCCTCATTTAAATCAACAGTTTTGTTAAATAACGTCCACTTTCAAGTATCTTTAGAAGAGGAACTTAAAAGCTGGACTCTTCAGAGCACCAGGCATTAATAATTCATAAAAGTAAAACATATGGCTGTTTATGTCTAAAATTTTGCTCATTAAGCCCACAAACTCTGTGTAGTATCGCTCTCCATGCCTCTCTCTGGGCTTTTACTTTTTTTAAGCTACTTTTTTATAGTTATTTTTTTCCTCATTTAAATAAAATTATGGTTGACCACTTTTATTGTTCTGGACCTCTTTTTCCAGTCTGCTTTCCACATATCATCTGCGCTGTCATAATAACCTCCCCATTAATTCTCATACTCTCCATCAAAGCCACACACTTGCAACCAGAATCAGATGCTTTGGCTTCTATCTTGTGCATAAAGCACAATCTTCTGTACATGTGACTTATGTATGTCTGTGTATTGTGTTTTTTGGTACGAACTTAAGAAATCACATATGCAATTCAAAATCAGCATATAATGGCAAAACTCCAAGTATATAAAGTATGCTTTAATTAAAAAATATATTTACATTGGAGATATATATTATTACTTTACAAATACATAACTTCTTGGAAACAGGGTATCGTTTCTACACAAGATCCCTGGGTTCCATATACACTTTCTATAAGGAGTCAATATAATAACTGATAAACGCTCCCACATGGAATCTGTGCACCGCTTTTTCCATTTTCTGCTCTGATGTGGGGATATTGTGTAATGTAATTAACTCAAACTGAATCAAGAACGATATTTTTCTTACCAGAGACCATTAGTAACCAAAATATTTAATAAACGCACAAGGCATGTTAACGACAGGTTCTATGGATTTCTTTAGGCACAGATTCCATGCAAGTTTACTGATGAACAACATGATTTGATCTGAAAGAACCAGACAAGTCCTTTGCTTGAAGATCAGGTAGTAGGCAGTATGGAGACGAGGCTCGTCTCCTACTCCTGTGATGAATCTGATCTTCAAGCAAAAGGAACTGAGTTAAATATTTGAATGCTGCTGATCCACAATCTGATTTCTGATTAGCTTGAATCATAATCACAATGTGTTCGTTCGTTGGCCAGAGGAGAACTGTTTTCTCAGTTCTCAGAAATTCTCAGAATTTTTATTTTTTTCTGAGTTTGGGTTCCTTGCCACTGTCGCCTCTGGCTTGTTTAGTTGGGGACACAATGTTATTGATTTGACTGCACTGACACTATTGGATGAGAACTGATCTGAGCTGGGTGACGTTATTTCTGTTTTTCTGTAGGATTGCTTTATAGATTAAATTAACTAATTTATTAATTGATGATCTTTACAATTTAACTGAATCAACACTTAAATGACTTCAGATGAACATTCAGAACATTTTCTTTTAGAGATGCTACATGTACAGCCAAAATTAACACAAAATTTGTGTCATTGAGTAATTTTCCTGTTATCACTGCAAAAGATTCTTTGAAACAATCTGTATAGTATAAAGTGCTATATACTTAAAGGTGACCTGACCTGAGATTTGTACAGTGCACGTTTCATCATCAGAATAGTGTGTGCATACTGTATACACCCAGCTGGATTTTTCTAACTGCACATAAACTGTATGCTCAAGCTTGCACATGTGACTTGAATTCCTTTGCACTGATTATTTTGTCAACAATTTGGCAACACAGCCTGAACTTTTGTTTTACTGTCAAAAAAAGTAACGGACATGGCAGCAACAGTAACAATAGATGAGCATTTGTATGATGGGGTTAAGAGATACAGTACCTGCAGTTCTGGTTTAAAAAATAGCTAATACAACAGCATTTGTCATAACTTCTGGAGAGGAATATTACAGACACTGGAGATGCACACATAGATGAAACTGTAGTGTGCATGTTCTGAGGCCTTGTATTCACTATTATACGAGTTTAAAACTGTACTTGGACATAACTGAACTATACTTTGGACTTAATGAACATTGTACATGACTGTTCTTCTCCAAGTTACTTAAACACCTTTACATTTACATATAAAGTTCTGGTATATACTTGTCAGTCCTCATAGTCATTGCCATGTCATATGGTGAACGTACTCGTGTCTTCATTTTCCGACAAAGAATGAGTGTGGACTTGTGTGCCTGACTTAAGGGAGATCTCAACAGTGGGCTGCTCGTTGCCATGCCGATACCCTCTGCCTGTCTGGCTACAGCGTTTGACCAGCTTCAGAACATGCATTTTAAAGGACGATCCGATAAAGACGTAGAGTACGGGATTCAGGCAGCAATGCGTGAGGGCCAGACTCTCAGTAATTTGAGTGGCCCGGTCCAGATTTTTGCTCAGCTCACATTCTGTCACTAAAATGTAAATCACATCCAGGGCTCTGACCAGTTTTACCAGATTATATGGGAGCTGAGTCGCTAGAAACACGCCTACTACCGCTATTAACACCCGAAACGCTCGCCATCTTCTCCCGCCGCGTACCCCCGCTGTAGCGGACTTACTCAACACTACTCCCACACTGCAATAGCAGAACATCATCACCAAGAAAGGCAGAAGAAAGCTCAGAGACACTTCCACAATTTCCATAGTTGCCTTAGCTGCCCGTGCCATGCTTTGAGGGTAAACCGCCCGGCAGGCATTACGGCCACTGGAGTTTGTCACTGTGTAGAACACCATATCTGGCAATCCCAGGACAATGGCGAGTCCCCAAACCAGTAGGCACATGATCATCCTCTGCCTTCTGCCATTGATCCAGGTTGGGGCATGGGTTGCGGTGGAGCCTCTGGCAAGAGCACGATAGCGGTCTATGCTAATGCAGGCTAGCAGCAGCATGCTACAGCTGAAGTTGGTGGAATAGAGGGCGGAGGTGATCTTACAGGCGGCTATACCAATCTCCCAGCCGTGTACTGCATCTGCTGCCCAGAAGGGCAGCGTGAGGAGCAGGAGGAGGTCTGCGAAGGCCAGGTTGAGGATGAATACGTCTGTCAGGGTCCGTAAGCGCTTGTGGGAAAGGTAAACGAATACAACCAGGGAATTTCCGGCCAGGCCCAGAATCAATGCTAGTGTGTAGACAACTGGCAAAAAAACCCCAGCAAAAGACCGGACTTCTTGTTTGTCGCAAACTGTGTGCATTTCATAATCCGTGTCATAGTCACTGTGGTTAGAACTGTTGTTATGGTCATGGTAATTGTAGTCATGTTCGTTATCAGAAAATTCTTCCATTTTGATCTAGAGAGAGAGAGAGAGAGACAGGACGTATGTAAACATTACTGATGGTGCTGATTTCTTTTAGTTCTTTATACACTCAGAGAAAATGTGAAAAAAAAATTAACACAGAAAAAAACATTTGGTGTAGGATTTACTATGAAACAATTTTCACTTAGAAATTTTAAAGTATGAATATCTGAAATAATCTTTAGTTACAACTTAAATATTTTTTTACAGTGTACCTTGACGATACAATAAATGATAGTGATAAACACTATCTCAATGTAAAACACTTTACTGTCTGGCTGAGTCTGAAATGTTTCTTCCTTACAATATATATTAAAAAAATACTCCTAATGTGCATCTTTTGCTCTTTATTTTGCTTTGTTAGTGCTACAAAAAAACAAAAACAAATAGAAGAGATAGAAATATGAAATTGCTCACGTATGTTTGTTTCCAGACATAATTGCTTTAAACATCCTTTAAATCTCAATTAAGACCTCCAAACATGAAATAATAGCTTTCCTCCTTCCTTACTTGGAATGTTTTGGACATTGCTTTTATTGTTCAATCAGGTTTTTACTAGAGCTGTCAAACGATTAATCGCTATTAATCGCATCCAAAATAAAAGTTTGTGTTTACATGATATATGTGGATGCACTGTGTATAATTATTTTGTATATATATAAATACACACACATGCATGTATATTTAAGAAAAAAATATTATTTATATAAAAAAATGTATATTTATATATAATATAAATTATATATCAATCTATACAGAATATACATGAAAATATTTCTTAAATATATACAAGCATGTGTGTGTATTTATTTATATATATATATAATTATACACAGCACACACACATATATTATATAAACACAAACTTTTATTTTGGATGTGATTAATCGTTTGACAGCCCTAGTTTTTACTACTAATTGTGTTTTGTAACCTTAGAAAATATATTTATAATTTTTATTGAATATATTATCTAATTTGAAATATTTTATCTGCTTTCAGTGCAGATATTTTTACTTAATGAAAAAAGTTGTAACTTAATGAAAAATGTTTTTCTGCATTACAAACTGGTCTACATGGCAGTGAGCTTTCATTTAGCGAATTTTCTTGACAATAATCTGATTTATGGGGTTTGTACGTTATTTTAAGATTCAGCACCTTAACTCACATCTGTCTATAATAAAGTCTGCATAATGCCTTTAGACTCTGCACAGCCTAACAAATCTGATTGCATTTTAGATGTCTGCACGCTTTATCTTTTTTAAAATTTCTTTTTTTATTTAATTGTCAATTTAGTGTGTCATCTGTGCTTTGTTGTAACTTGAGTGTTATTTTGTTTGCTTGATCCACGTGTACCTTCAAATATGCACATTTTAAATTAGCAAAGTGAGAAAAACAATTTTTTTTTCTGCAACAAAAACACTACTGATAATATCTTCCATGTTTGTCATTTTTATTCAGTTTTCCAGGGCGTCTTGATTGAGATCATACACAACTCAACACAGAGACATCTACTTTTGACATAAAACTCCCTGCATGTGGGTGCAACTTTTTTTAGCTGGCCAACAGTATCCAAGCAGCTCGCAGTTCTGTTATTTATTTCAACCTATACAGTAGTACATGTAAAGAAAAGGCCATGGGCAGCTTTGTAGCACTTGAGCTTTGGACGTATTATAAGCTTACTATATTTGCTATAGTTTGTATGGAGCGAGGGAGAGTTTATTTAACCCTGAACACTTTCAGGTGAAGGCTCTAGTAAAAGATACTGCTGGTTGTTTGCATTTCAAAACTGCAAATCCTTGACTTTTGCCATCTGCTCATCTGGAGTTGCACATGTTCTTAAAATGGGGGTGCCGAGCAGATCGGATCTTGTGTGTCTGGGTGATAAGCAAACATGCTGTAAAATGAAGATCTTTACCTAGCACAGCTATCACCAGTTGTCTGTTAAATTTGAGTAAATTATTTTTTTTCCTAAAAATGCTTTGGTTACTTGACTACCCCACTGTGTGCTTTCCAAATGTTGTACATCAATCAAAAGCTTATCAAAAAAAAAAAAAAAAAAAAAAAAACAACTACAAAAAACATTCTTGTGATTAATTATGATCCGCATGCCTCTTCCAGAAAACCTGGGTTTTTGGATGATATTTTTTCCATCTTGTGGAAATGGTTTGGCTCCTGTGCTTGAAATTCTGATGAATAACAACATAGTAAGCCCTTATTTTTATCGCCATACAACATTTCTGAACATGGATATGTTAAATTTCACAATGTCATACCTAATTACACTTTATTTTGCAAATGACAAAATACAATTTTTGTTGAATATTTTGCTATACTATTTTGCTAATTTACCTTGTGCTATTTGTCTTTCATTTTGACAGGTGGCAAAAGTGTTCAGATACTTTTTCAGGCCATTTTGTAGAAATATGAAATGTTTGTATTTAGAATCTTTTAATTGCAAAAGTTGCAGTTTAAACGTTTTTCCTAGGCTTTCTGTATAATAGAGGTCTCTGTGATCGAGTGTCTGAAAGGTGATCGGATTTTCTCATTCATTAATCCATGGCTGAATTTGTAGTATTGAATTACCTCTGTTATGCAGCTCAGGGGTTGTTACACCATTATATCCTGTCAGTTTAACAGGTAAACCCTTATCCCATTCCTCTTTCTCTTTCATTGAGTCAAATCTATAATGTATTCCTGAAACCTAAATTCTTCTGTGTCATTGTTTATTTTGAACTTTACCTTCCCTGTCATAAAACCTTTTGAGGATCAGTAAGCAGGACTTTGCTTTGCCTTAATTCATGACAGCAAATAAATTAAATGCAAAAGTAATACATCAAACTTACATAAAACCAACTAAAGAAATCTAAATACTGACATTTGAAAGCATAGTAAATGTAATTATGATAATTCAGCATCTGTTGTCACTTTGTCAGGCATTTGTTTGCTGTATTCTTAAACCAGTGTTTACCTTGAATGGTGATTCTCTACAGTTACTCTCACGATTGTCCCCTGTTTAGCTGTGACACATCTCAGAACCCTTAGACTTTGAGCTTCCTGCAGCTTTGATTTGAATTCGATTGTTGCATGTGAATTGCAGCGATGTGTCTTACCTCTGTTTGTAGCGTCTGAGTCACACTCCGTCCAGGAAAGAAATGCCTTTAGTCCGGAGAAGTGAAACACTCAGTTTATAATTGCAGCTGGGGCGAGAGGACGGCCACGGGTGTGTGCTTGTGTTTGCGTCAGAGGAAGGAGAGAGAGACTTAGAGAAAATAAGGATCACCCTTTTCCAGCTCGCCTCGTTCAACACCTTACTATGTTTTCGTGATTATCTTCAAGCTGAATTTTTGAAATTCCAGTATATTGTGTCGATAGCATAATAACTGTTTATAATACCTTTCTAAGGGTTATATCACTCAAACAAATACAAGTTAATTATAAAATGTATTATATTTATTTACAGGTAAACCAAAAATGACTAAGTGGTTTCACAAAATTAAGCACAATGATGCATTATCTAAACAGAAACTCTTTTAAATGTCAACGTAAAAGAACATTAAACACTGACAGTGGTCTCCTTTAACTAAACTTCAATTTACACGTAAAATAAACACATTATAAAAACACTATTTCAACATTTATTCCACCTGATCCCCCTTGCAGAGCAAGAGATGTTAAAGCAATAAAAAGTTTCTGTTAATGCAACAAAAATGATTCATGTAGTCCTAACACAAATGGATTAATTAAACTTTAATAGTTAGTAGTAAATTTAATGGAATTGATTTGTAATAAAATCTTCAGCAATTGTTTTGCTTTAGCTCATATTAAATAAATAAATTGAGCAAAAGTCTTATCTTATCAGATTGCTCTTGCAGATGTAGAATTTATTTCATGATTAATAGGCCTATGTTATCCCTGCATTGACACTAAGATCAATATCTGAGTGCAACACCCATGCAGACTTGGGTTATATCGGTAAGTTGCACATTTTTGTGCTCCCATAATAAAATATATCTTCTGAAGTTGCCAGGTCAATCACAGAAGCGTTTTGAGTAAAGAACCGATTCGTTCACGAACCGGCCATGTCTATGATCACTAGTCTGCAGAGAGATGGAGGCGGCAAGAGAAAAGGTGAAGACTGGGGAGTGGAAGCTCCGCAAATACACAAATAGAAAGAGTAAGTGTGGGAGACATTTACTGAAATAATGAAAGATGATGACCAAAGTGCTGCCTTTGTTCTATGTAGGCTACGTCTTCTTGCGATGCTGTGTTGTTACACGTTTATGGCCCAATGACGCTACGATGAGCATGTACTACTTTTAAAAAATACGTTCAGGAAGAGGGTCGGGTACAATATTTTCTTACTTTTTTTGCGGTCCGAGTAGCGGGCGGGTAGTTGAAAACGTTGGTAGTGTGCGGGTTGTTTATTGACCCGCGCATCACTGTTCCACACGGCTGATATGTCTCCCCATCTCCCCGCTCTGAGCTGCAGCCGGAGCCTGGGGGTGGGCACTCGGCGCTTGTGATTAACCCATTTCTCAGAACTTGGTATCGGTCCCCGGTATCGGGGGACTTTTAACGAGTACGAGTACTTTAGAAAATGTGGTATCGAGGCCGATACCAGATACCGGTATCGGTATCGGTGCATCCCTAGTTTTGACAGAGGCATACACTTTAGGAAAGGAAAAAAAAAATAGTGCTGCCCTAATCTAAATAGGGCTATAAGAACATTGGGACATAAATTAGGGGTAATTTTCCCAACTGGCATATTTCACTGAGCTAGTTATAAGCATTGGTTCAGGAAGTCATTGTGCGTAATTAACTTTACAGTGTTGTAACTGCTCTTTTCCGAGTGTAATCATTTACTTTGTTTGCATAGGAAAATTGCTGCTGTCATTATTTTTCTAAAGAACAACCATGTTCATTGAGAATATTAGCTGTGAAGTGTGAAACAAACTATTTGATAGAGGGTCTTGTCTGATTGGTGTAATTCCTTGCAGTAGCTCATCTGTGCGTAATCCTTTTATAAGAGAGCATGGCATTCCGAAGGCCCTGCGTGATTTGTTTGTTTGATGGAGTCAGTTCTTTATGGAATGCACCATGGAGCAAACGGTCGCGTGTTTGCCTGCTTGTATGGGGACACCCTGCAGACATGAAAGGACAAGTCTGTCATATCACACCCTGAGAAACAACCTGTTTTCATCAAACAAATTACTAAAGTAAGAGCCGTTGCTTGCCAGCACATATACATACACACCCACACACAAAATGCATACAGGCTCATGACTAACTCTTCCTTAGGAAAAACACTTGTCTTTCCAGAAATTGTGAACCTTGAGTGTTTGTTTCAAGGTGTGTGTGTGTGTGCGTGTGGGTGTGTGTGTGTGTATCTATCAAAATCTAAGGTGTGCCTCTGTTATGTGTGGAATTGTGGATTCAGCGTCTTGTCCAATGCTCTCTCTCATAAAAAGCACACCAGTCAGTGTGTCCAAATTTTACCTTGTGGGTTCTTGTGTTTAATTTCCCATGGTTATATCATAGCAGGTATTTATTTTCCATTGTGAGTTCATTTAATTTAGGTTTTAACATGAATATGCAAAAAAATAAAAATAAAAAAAATAACACATAACCATACTCTCCTTAGTTGATTGATAACATTAAGAATTGCAAACAGTTTTGTATTACAAGTTTTCAGAAATATTAGTTTAAATTAGCAAATCTAATTAAACATGCACCAATTTTCATACATTTCCAGAACAGAGAAATCTGAACATTGGATTAAGCAAGTTTCAAAATACTTATTTCATTTTGATGACATTAGATAAAATTTACAGAGGGGATTTTTGGATTTTTTTATCACTCCATAAATCAGAAAATATCATCAACATCCAGAAAAACAACAATAAAAACATTTCACAATTTTTTAGGAATAAAACGAATAAACCTGGCAAATAAATGACCCCCTCTGTAAAATCCCTCAGAATAGAAATAAAACTGTCAAGTTTGATGTATGCAGGTACTACTGAAGTGGAGATTTCTGGCTCAGTACAACTCATTTTGAGAAAACGGTCTTTACAGGTATGTATTGTATTTGAAATTTACAGATAAAAGTATCAGGTGGCTTTTGCGGAGGCCTCAAAGGGGCAGCAATAGTGGCACTTTGGTAGGGATTCCAATTATTCAGTCTGACGTAACGTTGAACGTGACTAAGTAAAAGGGAACATCTAGGTTACTATTGTGACCCCCGTTTCCTGAAAGAGGAAACGAGATGTTACTTCCCGTCGATAACAATTGCTGCACCAACGCTCAGCGGTCGGGTCACCGGCTCTGCTCCTCAGCGAAAACCTGAATTGACGTTGCACATGCTCTTTTTTATATACCTGCTTCGCAGTGCGGAGTTTGCGATACTAATCTTGTGCGCCAATGTCCATTGGCTCATTTAGTTTACACTATAAGGTGATTTGGCTCTTAGGTGATATCCCAATTCGTCAGTTCACGTCTGACGTAACGTCTCCATTCCCTTTCAGGGAATGGAGCTTACAATAGTAACCTAGATTTTAGCTTTTTTTTAAAAAACAACAGAGGTTTAACCCTAAAACTGTATTCTGGACAAATGTGGGCAAAATAGTTTTGATTTATTTTTGAAAAAATACTTCCCTTGATCTGAGCAGTACAAGACTTGGAGTTAAAGGGGTCATGAACTGGCTTTTTAAATTTTATTATATTGTTGTCTGAGGTCAACTTATGACGTTCACTTGGTTTTTTGCATTCAAAAACATCAAAATGAATAAGTAATAGGCTATTTTGTACCCAAGTTTTGAGCATACCTGAAGAACGCTCGGTTTTTATGGCTGTCTCACACTGAAGACTTGGAAGTAAATACCCACTGCTGTGAGTGGATGACAGTCCCGTTGATGCACTTGGGGGAAATTGCTTTGAAAACGTCCAATGTTGTAAAATGGCAACCGGAATGATTCGACCCAGAGTCCGTGTGTTGCACAATTCCTGTCGGATCCAATATAGACGGCACCAGGGCCTGAAATTAACACCCGACCACCTGCCAAATGCGGGTGAATTTTGCTATTGGCGGGTAACACTGTCAATCTACCTGCCACATTGGCGGGTAGCCAATGAGAATTGAGTGATTCATTAGGATTTTTACATTTCAACGAAGTCCGCTATTGCGGTGGACTTTAGCTAAAATGTGGCGGCGCATTACTGGGGTAAAGAGGCCAGCTGAAACAAAACAAACAGCCAACAAAAAGATGAGGATGAGAAAAAGAAAAGTAAAGAAGACATTTTAATACAAAGTGAACAATCGGCGGCAATGGCAAGGTTCGTGAGCGGCTGATTTATGACAGCGACTGTTGTTTCGTAACGTTCATGCGATCAGAAAGAAGATGAGGCTCTTTTTCTGACTACGTGTGCGAGTATTAAACTGTTGATGAGATGGGATGAGATAATGTAACGCGTCGCTGTTGCAGGTTAAAGTACAATGACAGTTGCACAGATGTGTGTGCGTGTGCAACTGTGCATGTTGGGAGTTGGGAACCGGTGAGAAAATGTCCGGTACCCGGTAATTTTATCAGTAATAACATTATTAATTTAGTTCATATTTAACCGTTCCTGAACGCTGTAACTAAAAGCTGTTAAGAGTAAGACCTGTACGTGACTAAATCCGCCATCAACACAGCCGCGTGTGATTTGTTTACGAGCTGCGGTTGGTCTATCTGTTGAGTATATAGCTACTATGTTGTGTGTGTGTGTGTGTGTCTGTCAAAATCAATGAATAAAAAGAATTTTTTTTAAATGTATGTTATTAGAGTTATTATTACTTGACAGCACTAAAATGTGTGTTCTTACAAGTTAAAGAACAATATTGTGAAATTCCCGTTTTTTTTTTTTTTTTACGTTTATGAGGCAAAAAAAAAAAAAAATGGCTGGTAAAAAGTCTCTGTGGCGGGTGAATTTTTAAATCCACCTGCCACAGTGGCCGGTGGCCGAAAAAATTAACTTCAGGCCCTGGACGGCACAGCACCGTTCTTTACTCTTAATCGGTCTGCAAATGCAGTCTTGTTTACAGAACAA